TTTTTTTCAGTGTAAATTTAGTTTGTGCCATTGTGAATGAAGGAGAGTACAAATGGGCTGAGTGTAAATTCCAGTTTGTTTGTTTTCAGATTTAACTTCGCCTTTTCTATTTTTAAAAGTAAAATAGGAAATAAAATGATTCAATCCTTACTTCATATGAAAGGGAATGGAAGGAGAAGGAAGAACATTTGTTTGGGAAGAAGAGTAAGGTAGGATTGTAGGAAACAAAATAATTAAATGGTCCTCATTTTACACGAGAAAAAATAAAAAAATTTACATTAGCTTTTCAGATGCAAAAGTTACACTTTGAATGAATAAAATAGAGATGAAAAGGTTAAATTTTGCATCAGGTAAGAATAAATATCATAGTTTATAAACAGAAAAATGCAAAATTAAACTAGATGTAATTTTTGTATCCCATTTAGATATACACTAAAAATAAACAGAACCTTAGGCTGCATTTGGAAACGATGCAAATAGAGTGTAAATCCCGGTTTAGGGTAAATTTGCACTCTGGTTCACTTTTGTCTGTGTTGGACAACATTACATTTTTGCATTGACAAATGGCAGAGCAATGCATATTTACATTGATAATAAGATGTAAAAGTGCATCAATGAAAAAGAAGTAAATTTGCATTCAAAAGGGCTTTTGATAAAATAAGGCATATGCTTTATTGGAACTAGTGTTTGCATCCATTACAGTTAAAAGTCTTTGGTAAGAAGGTAAATTTATCAGTGCAAAACTAACCCAACTTTACAATTTATATGAACTATTTTACACTCTACATATTTACATTCACACTTATTTGCATTGTTTCCAAATGCAACCTTAGGCTCAGTTTGAAAGGAATACAAATACAAATGCAAAATCTTGTATTTTATATTATTTTGTATGTATTTACACTGTATATATTTGCATTTTGTATTCTTTCCAAACTGAGCCGGTTTTCGTCCTCGAATCTGTACACATGTACTACTCTCTCCTCTACGAAAAAAAAAAAAAAAAAAAAAAAAAAAAAAAAACAAATGAAAGGTATGAAAGCTGAAGTGCTACCTAACATCTGACTAAGTAGTGGGTTTCTCAATCAAATGTCATAATTGTCAAATAGACTATTCATCCATTAGAGATGAATTAAAATAAGCTCAATTGCTCAAAAGTATACCAAAGCTGCAGATTCAACGATGAGGGTATTCAGACTGAAACAATTTTAACAAATTAGATATATACAGAGAGAAGGGGAGAAAACTAATTGTAATTTGTAGTAGTGCCTTCCAGTACACATGCTGATTCATTTAATTTTTATATTTGACGTGAACCCAAGTCCTGAATAAGCAGGGACCATCCTTGAATCAACTTGAGAGTTGCATGATGAGCTGAAGTGAACCCTGGGCAATATAGGAAGATGTTCAGATCTAGCAATTAAACCAAGTTTTCAAACATTGTCTGGTTTTATTTGGAAGCTGAAGGCGCGTTTCTCTTAAATCTGAATGCGACTTCTGCTCTGCCGAACCAACAATAGTAATCAGAACAAAAGTTGTAGTTTCAATTCTTCTATCTTTTGTCTTTTGATCTATTTTACTTAATTGGAGAGACTTTTGAGGCCACTAGGCCCACTACCCACATCCGTATATAGGTCCTACACGCAGGTGGACATTCTTAATTAGTGTCCTTTGCCTTCCTAAATGGCCTTGGCTTTTGACTTAGCCGGCCCTACTGCTTATAGGCAAAGTGTGACTAGGAAACAAAAAAAAAGAGTAAACTGCAAATGGGTAATACTGTCTTTTGAGGATAGTTTCATTTTAGGGCATGAACTTTTAAATGTGCCACTTTAGTACTTAAATCTTTAGAAATATATATATATATATATATATATATATATATATATTTAAATCCAATTCTGCTAAGTTAATTGTGAGAGGTAAAATTACAAAAATGCCCATGTTCTGATTCTCTTTTTTACCATCTATCTTCTATTTTTGGACTTCACACGCAAATGGTAAAGTAAATTCACCCGGTTTGTTTATTGGGGGTAGCCTTATTTTGTGATGTTTAGTTGTTTGCTTTTCTACTATTAGTTTGCATCCTAAATTTAAAGGTAAAAAAAAAGATGAACAGAAGAAAGAAAAAAAAAGTCAAGACATAGGCTTTTTTATAATTTTACCTAGATTAATGAAGTTGGATTTAAATATATATTTATAGAAGTTCAATTACTAAAGTGAGACAATTGAAATTTGATGCCTTAAAATGAAATTAACCCCAAATAGAGGATACCTATCAGCAATTTATCCTAAAAAAAGGGTCCCATCTCATATTGAGTATAGCACAAGGGAGGTGATGCATTAAGCAGGTAAGTTGTCAAATTCAGGGAGGGCTTGAGAGGTTCACAGAGGGGCGTTGGTTATATCTTATACGAGGCAAGCTGCCAAGCTTTATATTGCAACAGATGTAGGGTAGTATTTTTGCCTTAAAAAAGCTCAGAGAGCCAATTTCAGGTCATTGTCCAGCCATTTACACGGCTCTCCGCATGAGCTTTTTCCATTCCAGTAGCTTCGATTCTTCACATTCACAGCAGCTTAACCAAAATGAAACCTTTCTAGATTGGCTCTCATTAATATTATCTAATCAGTTTATTAATTGAAAACCCAACAGCCACGTCTCACATTGGTGGGCCAAGTATCATCTCAATCGGATAATCCTACACAAATTCATAGTTTAACACACTTGTGTTGACTGGTTGAATGATCAAATTTCAAAGCCCAGAATCGCCTCTTACACGCAATTGAACGGTTGGGACGCTGTTACTATCAGACAGCTAGAATGGGTTTATCATCACGTACGTCACCATTCTCAAAGCTCAAACCCCTTACAGCCAAGAATGCAGCTGAAACTGATTAGAGAAATGGAGCTAGATCCCAGATGAATTATTGATACACACTCTAAGCTTAAGCTTGGAGCGGAAATCCAAGCCTAAAAATGGTTTAGTGATATCACCCAAATCCGTTCTGGACTCTGGAGTGCTTGGATTATCCAATTTAACCTAGCTTCTTCGGCTATTATTGCATCTTAATTCGACTCGAGAAAACTAACGAAGCAAGAAAGAATGGTCATTCAAGCTTAGACAGCTAATACCAACCGGGGGTGACTCATTGGTATGCTAGTTGGTTCACTTCAGCATTGATAGAGAATCAATCCCTACGACCACCAATTTTGCAAAAAAAAGGGTTAATAGTGGTGTGTGGCACCAATACCAAAAAAAAGCTTAGACAACTAATGATAACCGGATGGAGTATCTTTTATTCATAATAAGCAAAGTTCACCCAACGCCCTATCAGTGGCCTAGTCTTGACACTTCAAAATCAATACTTGCCTCCCATTAAGCTGAAGCTCGAGGAATCTAGCTTTTTCTTCACTCTTGAAGCTTCATTTTGGCCTCTCAATAGTCAATACTCAATACTATGAATGTATGGTTGAGAGAAAAATAGAAATTAAGAACAAGGTTCAAAATATCACAATGTATGGATGCATTATCATTTGATACATATCGATTTTTTAAACCACCAAAATGTGCCTTAAAGAGATTGGGGGAGGGGGTTTGTAGCCTGTAGGTTAATGGTTAGAACCTCTTCTATCTTACCTAACCTTGAAGCATCATCTTGAGAAAAAATAGAAAAATATAGTATCGTGGTTTAGAAATGTGGAAAACCCATTTTTGTGTTTCACATGCATCGATACTTTAGACCTTGGATGAAAGGGAGAAAGACCAAAATGTGAAAAAGACTAAAGCAGTATTCCAGTGGTTTAAACTTGACATAAAATATTAAAAATGCGTATAACATGTGTTTTATACCTTATTTGTAATCACTTAAGCATGAGATTTAATTTTATTAAAGTATTTTATTTTAGAATTATGTGAACTTTCCACTTTTTCAGTACTCGTGATACAAATAACTTAAAACCTCGATTGGATATTTGGATCCAAGTTGGTTCAAGACTCGAATTTGCATGGGAAGACATTGAGGTATTGACCCAGATTCAAATATGTCAGTTCTACATCAGACCCATTTTATGTCATATCTCTCCAAGGCAACTCTTGTGAATAGTTAATCTTCTTTGAAATAGCATACAAGGAACTCTTGATTCTTGAAGAAGAAATATGTTTATCAAAAGTCTGACTGATTTTAGTGGGGCCAAAAAGAGGGTGACAATGATAACAAATGGCCTGATATAACCAACCAACTGATATAGTAGTGCTAACTGCTAACTGCTAACCAATTAACTGATATTCATCATAATCCATAAGCGGGTTCTAATTGTTCAAAGCCCTTCCGGCATCATACCCTTGCGGATCAGAGAAATTGCCTTTTATCAATTGATTAAAATTACATGATTGAGCTGAACTTTTTTGCTTTTCCATTTCTTACTTGCGGCTATTTTTGTTTGCAGTGTAAATTCCATCTGAACTGGTCTATATGCATAGGAGTGTAAATTTCAGGTTTAACTGTCTTACTTGTTTGTGAGAAACAAAAATGAAGTGATCCCCACTTTATTAAAGAGAATGAAAAACATAGAGCTAATTGTTTGGGAGTGTGGCAACAAGCAAGATGATGTGGTCTCCACTTTATTTGAGACTAAGGTACAAGGAAGATGATGCAAATTTTGCATCAATCACTAGGATAGTGGGATGCAAAGTTTATACTGCCCATAAGTGCAAATTTTGTATCAAGCAAAAAGGCATGTCATAGTTACAAACAAACAGATGCAACACTGAACCGGGTGCAAAATTTGTATTGCTTCAAATTTGCACCGTAAACAAAGCCTCAAGGCTCAGTTTGGAAAGAGTACAAACTGAGCCTAAGGTTCACTAAGTGGAATGCTTCCACTAAGTGCACCATCTTCCTTCACAATGTGGAACTGTCAGTTCTTCACGTTTAGGGCTTTTTTATTTGGTCACCCAACTCTTCCAAGTCCCAACTTCAGCTGCCTCAAAAACAACCAAGAATGTAGACAAAACTTAGGCATGTTTCCAATGAGATCTACTAAAATCCTGACAAAAAGCTATTAGTCTAAAATCTCTGCATGTCACAGCGTGTTTATGTGTACTCTCACCCATCTTCAAGTTGTGCACACGAAGGAATTTACCCTCTATGTGAAAAGTCAAATGAATTGATATGCATACAAACTCTATTTGATACAAAACTGGAAACTATTGCCAATTGCCTTCAAGGCAAACGATGAGAAACAATGCAAACAATGCATGCAAGGCCATGTATCATTTTGGACGTCCACAAAACAATGCCCATGGATGAACTAATCAAATACCAGGATCAATGGTATTTTCCATATATTTCAAATTAGCTGGCTAATTAATGCTGCTTATCTCGGCCTGTTACAGACAATTCTACCCCACTTTTAGGTCGTGATGGGGCCACCTTGGTAGGGGTGGAACGCTCGGACTGGGAGAACAGAATGAAGATGTGCATTAATAACGTAACAATGGCCAACCCTGCAGCTGAGAATGCAACTCCTTTCCATGATGATAGAAGTGAAGTCCATTTGAAGAATTTGAAAGCCCCAAATAGAAGAAGACATGACCAAGAGATAACAACCTGTCGTAGTAACAAAAGAGAATTAATGACCCCCTTCCAAAGGAATAAGAACTGAGAACACAACTTTATTCAAATCATTAGAACAGTATCATACCAACAAAGACTTTATTGGCCGACCAGTGTCTTGAAATTCTTGGTCACTGAAGGTACCATCAGCCAAATGTTTGTCCAATAGAGCGTCCTGGTGATTAATAAAGCAAAAGCAGCATAAAGCATTTGCTACAAGGAATAAGTCAAAAAACAATACTGAGAGAAAACCAGGATAAGCGCATGTTTTTGCAACATTCAGATTATGCTATTATCAGTCAAAACATTAAAACTTCTAACTATGCAAGTTTGAATTACTTCATAGAAAATAGACCAGCACTAAGTGGAAAAAGTGGAAGTGGAGGTACCTTGGCCACAAATACATCTCTACACCATTTTGCAACATCATCATCAGTCTCAGGCAATTCCTTCATCAAGTGTCGCTTGATGTGAACATGAACCTATTAGGTAGGAATTGTTAATACTTGGTAAAGACAATCTCATCACACTAAAAAGCAACCCTGTGAACTTGAACCCAAGTACATGAACACAAAGCTATACTAGAAACAGAGGCAACATTCCTTCCATTTTATTAACACAAAGCACCCCCTGATCTAACAAGTCCATCAAGCTGAAATTCCTTGAGATCCACCTGATCAGAACTGGTAATATTGCTACTGGTAATTCCATTTAGGTAAGGAACCAGTCTTCAAGGGCTGCAACATGCCATTTGGCTCCATCTAATGCTGTTGACTGAACCTCCCTCAATGAAGAACTGGGAAAGGAGACCCTACTAAACTATCCACACCCCTGCAAGGAGATCCTTGACCTTGGTATTTGGTGGAAATCAGCATCCCTATCAGGTTGGGAATTCAGACTGAATCAGTAAACCCTGCTAATTGGGAATTCAGGCCTGTGTTTCTCATCACCTAATCTTTGGTGTGGGAATTCAGGCTAAATCTGTAAGCCCAGATAATTGGGAATAAGTAACCAAACGAATAGCCCAGGGATCTGAGAGCAGTCACTTCGTTCAAAAAATTGCCAAAGGTAAGGTCCACATCCAGTTCGCCTTTCCCAAGATGCTCACCTTTTTAGTAGCTCCAGGGGCTTCAAGAGAGATGCCCTGTGAGCTTTGCCAAATTGAAACCTAACCTTTTTCTATGAGTAACTGAATTGAAGCGTAACCTTAATCATCAAAGAGGGAGATGGGGTAAGTCCTGCGATAGAGCCATAGGGGAAGAGTGCAAGGATCTCCTTAAAATGTTTATGGAGTTACCTCAGATTGACTACATGGAATCTTTTGGAGGTTGAAGCCCATGAATTTAAGATCCTCCCAAAAGCTTTGAAGGAATCCTTTCAGTCTTCAAAAAATGAGGCTATTTCTTTATTTCCAAGCAGCATAAATTGCATGGATAATAGCCTTCCAACAAATTCTACTTCTTGAACCCAAGCCATGAAACTTGCCACTGCTTTAGCATATCGAAGAAGTTGTGAGAGGCCAACCAAGTTCAGGAAGAAATTCCAGATACTTTATTGCCACCAATTACCACAAAGTAGGAAGTGAGTGGCTGACTCATAGACCTATCCAGTGTCTACAATTAAAGATCTATGTATGATCTGAAAAAAGGACATTATTTTAACCACTGTGGATTCCCTCAATCTCTTGATTCTCTCCTTCCCTCTGTTTCCTAAGATATACGAGAAAATGTGCCTAAATTTTCTGCCTGATAGCAATTTAATGCATAGTATGAGATAGAGTTTTACATTTTGTTAATGTGGAAATAATTAAATGATTATGCTTTTGCCTTTCCAGTCTAAGATGAGATTACATGATCATAAATCGATATTTTTGAGACTGCACTGTATACAGCTAAAATAATACTGGAGAGAAGAAAAGATATGTGGAATGATATCCAAGTATTCTCTGAAAACTAAGTGCATCAATTGTGAAAACTTTGAAAAAGAAGAAAAACAAAGCTTATATATTAAAATGTCAAGGTAACTAAAAGAAATAAATGAGTATTGCAAATATTTAAGTTCCTTAATCCAGTTAAAATTCTCCAAGTTTGATGGCTTACCACAGAAGATTGCCCCTTCAATATTCTCAGCATTGTAGGTGGAGGTTGGTTTTTAGGAATAGCAACAGTTACATCATAGATTGCTGGAACAAATGAGCGCATATTACTTACAGCTGCAGCAAAACCCTGAGATAAACATACAAATTTCTCAGAAATGTCAAATGCTTATGCATAATTATGTCTGACTAATCCAATATTAACAGAATAGTTTCCTTAAAAGTTTGCAAAGAACAAACAACAGCAATTGTTCAGAAGTAATTTCATGGTACAGATATGCAGCCTTGTCACTACTGAAAAACATAATGGAGGTATAGAGTTGCAACTATAACTGAAATAAAGTGAAGTCCACATAAAATACAGTTTTAATCAATAAGGTCACATGCTGGTGGAAGAATGCCAAAAGTGCCATCTGGAAGGCACATACTCTGCGCCTGCCAACCCCTCCAAGCCAAACAAGAAAGTGAAAGATCTTCAGCCCAATTTGAAAGGTAGGATTGTGGAATGAAATGAACCATATTCCTGCTCTTCAGGAACCACATCTAGTAGATAGGACAAATTACAGTTTTTTAAACCTAGCACAGGGAAGTGTTAAAATTTTCTCCTCTAATTAGGGAAAGAAATGCCACCATACAGAAAAAGAAATCCTCTATAGAAGAGTTAGCAATGCCATCCACCACCAAATTCATTACTCTGGGCATTCATCATTTACTGATTTAATTTGCAATTTAGTAGTTTATAGTTATCTATATGTTTACACGCACACACAATTCAACTCAACTGATATATTTGGTCAGTACCATTGAAAACATTGTATTACTTGAATATGATAAATAACTGACCCCAGAACAGTTGAGTTCTATTTACCCCTTGTCTAGTAGACAATCTGCCAAACCAGTGTTTTCAAAACCGGACCGGAAAAACCGAAACCATTTCACCCCAAAACTGCTTTTTGGCCAAAAAGCCTTGTGCCAAACTATTGGCTTTGAATTTTATCTATCAAAAAAAAAAAAATGCTATCAACCAATGGTTTGATGTTATTCTGGGTAGTGCCCTCAATACTAGTCCACCCCAATGCTCCTCCCAATCTATCAAAAGCAAGAATCTATCTAGTGTAGAGCAAATGGGGGATTAAGTTGGAGACTTGACCAAGTAAAATTATGATGGGCAAGGGGCAAATCCTTGGGTTCAATGGAATTCACAAATTATGCTTCCCTTGGTGAAGATGCTTTGTTAGAATGTATCTCACTTGATTGAAGGAATAAGAGAGAAAATAGGGAGAGAAAGAACCTAGAATCACGGAGAAAAGATCAAACAAGACATTAGGTTGGAAAGTCAAAAAACACTTCAGATATGGAGTTCGTGCAGGCAGGTCAGTGGAGGAGATCCTTGAAGATAGAAGCAAAAAATCTCCTGTTCGAAGAGATGAGAATYAAGGGGAAGGTAAGCCTGAAAGTAAGGGAAGCGAAAAAGGGTACAATATTGCTGGAAGGATTAGAA